GCCCCTCCAGGGCCACCTTCCTCGCCCTGTACACGGCGAGCTTGGCGTAGCCGACGAGCACGTTGACCGGCCCCTGAAGATGTTGGGGTCCGTTGCCCTTTGGGTATCCAAAGATGAGGACCGTCGGGGAGAAGTGGAGGCTGAACCTTAGGAGGATATTTCTCAGGACCTTGAACACAGCGAGTCCAGGCTCTTGCACTCCACGTATTGGTGCGCCACCGTCTCCACTTTACCGCAGAACCGGCACTCCGGGGACGTGTCGGTGAAGCGCGCCGGGGAGACGTTGGTGGTGACGGTGCCGTGGGCGATGCTCCAGCCGAGGTCGCCGATGCAGTTGTACGTCGGGCTGGAGTAGAGTTGCCTCCAGCGAGGCCTCTCCGGAGAGACGCAGGGCTAGGGCTTTCCTCCAGGCATGGTCCTTGTGGCTCCTCAGGGTGTCCTGTTGGTGGAACCGGACCGTGTAGGAGTAGAGCACCTTCCTCTTTACGTTGGCGAAGGCCACCTCCGGCAGGTCTTCCAGCCGGCACAGGTCGCGATCCGCCTTCGCTTGTCGGCATTGGCGATGCAGTGGCACGACTGAAAGCTCCGGTGGAGGGGGACCGAGAGGGGCCTCGTCATCCCCAACGCCGACGGGGGGGGGGGGGGGGGGGGGTGGCGTTCTCCCCGCTGCTGCTGAGAAGGCCCCCTTGGCTTCGGCCAGGATCCGGGCAGCCACCCGGAGCGACTGCAGCCCCCCTGTCTTTGCGGCCATTCTGCTGGTCCGAGCCACCGGCCTCCGTGTTTCAGGCTCCACCAGATCTCCCATCCTGGTGAGCCGCGCGTTGGCGAGGCGCCTCTCCATGCCCGGGGAGGCGGTGGTGGATGGCAGCTTTGTCTGCGGGTTCCTGAGGATCGGTTCGAAGACCAGATCCTCGGCCGATCGCAGCTGGTTCAGCCTCCTGACGGCGAGGGAGCTCCACGTCCGCAAGACGCTTCTGTAGAAGGGTGGCAGCTGTCCCAGTGGGAAGCCCTGCAGGTCCATGTAGAATAGTTGTTTGGAGCACTGCAGACCCCCCCAGCTGTTTCAGGAGGAAGGAGGCCGTGATGCTCCAGGCCGGTGCAGGGGCGGCGTGCAGCAGGAACTTTTGCGCTGCCTGTAGTCGGAAGGTGGCCAGCTGACTCCGCACGCACACCAGCCCGTGACCGCCCTCGTCCAGTGGCAGGGCCAGGACCCTGGCCGCGACTCCGGTGTCCTCCACCCGACCAGAAGAAGTTGAGGACTCGCTTCTGAAGTGCGTTGACGAGGCTCATGGGGGGGTGCAGGGAGAAGAGTCGGTGCCACAGCATGGACGTCACCGGCTGGTTCACCACCAACGTCTTTGTCCTGAAGGTGAGGAACTTGCACAGGCGACCCCGGGTGCCCAGCTGCTCCTTCACCTTCTCCTCCAGCTCGACCCAGTTCCTCTGCGGTGGTTCCTCCTCTGGTCCGAGGAACACCTCCCAGGTGGTGCAGCAGCGATGTTGTGCTCCAATTTGATGGCTTTTGCCTTCTAGGGACATTCGGTCATGTCCCACGCTCCAACCAGCAGGCCGCTGCACTTTTGCCAGTTCATTTTTGATGAGGAGGCTTTCGAAAAGACCTCCTGGCACTCGTGCGGCAGGGCGTACATCATCCAGGGAGCGCAGGATGAGGAGGAGGACGTCGTCGGCGTACGCCGTCAGGACCAACTTGACGCTTGGTTCCCTGAGCACCGGGCCGCTGAGTCTCCGCCTTATGAGACTCAGGAAAGGCTCTAATGCCAGGGCATAAAGTTGGCCCGACAAAGGGCATCCCTGTCTCACTCCTCGCTCGAATTTGACCGGGGCAGTGAGGGCACCGTTGATCTTGATCATGCACTCCGCCTTGGTGTAGAGTAGGCGGATCGTTCGGACAAAGGCATCCCCAAAACCAAAGGTCTTGAGGGTTCCCAGCAGGTATTTGTGGTCCACTCTGTCAAAAGCCTTTTTCCTGGTCAAGAGCCAGAAACGCGATTGGGATGCTCAACCTCTGGGACACCGCGATGAGGTCCCTGACCAGGAAGATGCCGTCGTGGATGGTTCGTCCGGGGATGGTGTAGGACTGGTCCCCTTTTACGACTTGTGCAATCACCCCTTTCAGTCGCAGGGAGAGAGCCTTCGTCAATATTTTGTAGTCTGTGTTCAGGAGGGACACCGGACGCCAGTTTTGTAGGTGCCTCAGGTCTCCGTTCTTGGGAAGCAGAGTGAGCACCGCCCTCCTCCAAGACTGAGGTATCACCCCGGTGACTGAGGCTTCCTCCAGCACCTCTCTGTAGTCCTCCCGCAGGGATGGCCAAAAAGCGGCGTAACACTCCCCTGTTTGCCCGTCTAACCCTCTTACAGCTGCGTCAAAGTCAGTCCAGGTGAGCTTTTTCTCTAGCAGCTCTTTCCCGTCTTCCCCCAGGGTGGGTAGACCACTCCATGCCTCCGCCTGGGCCGGTTCCGATGTTTGTTCAGGGGAGAACAGGCTGCCGTAGAAGTCTCTGATGACGGTCGACTTCTGCTGGAGTTCGTGCACCAGGACACCGTCACCATCAAAGAGGCACTCCATGGATTTGCGTCTCCCGTTCTGCCTCCCGAGGGAGTAGAAAAGCGGGGATCCCGTGTCGAGGTCCGTGATGAGCTTCAGCTGGGATTGCACAAACGCTCCCCTTGTCTGCTCCTCCTGTAGCCCTTTGAGATGCTCCCTATTCTCCTCGTATTCTCGGAGAAGAGCGGGGTCGCTGTCCTCGGCGAGGCGACCCTCCAAATCGAGGACTAGGGCTTCCATGTCGGTGATGTCCGCGTTCTTCAGTCTGGTGCTCCCCCAGGTGTATTGTTGGCACAACAGCCTGGTGTGCACTTTGCCCATATCCCACCACTGCGCCAGAGAGTCGAACTGCGTTTTGGTTTTTCGCCACTCTTCCCAGAAGTCCTCGAACATTTATAAGAAGGCGCCATCCTCCAGCAGCGAGTTGTTAAAATGCCAGTGGGACGCGCCCTCACGGGCCCTCTCCAGCCTGACATGGAGCATGCTGAGGTTGTGGTCCGTGAAGGGTGCCGCCCTGATGCCAGACGTTATGGCGCACGCCACAAAGCTCTTAGAGATGTAAAATCTGTCGAGCCTGGACTGCGTCACCGAGCCATCTCGCCTCGTCCTCGTGTACGTGAACTGGCGATGGCCCGGGTGATGTATGCGCCACACATCCACCAAGGCGGCTTCCTCCAGGAGTCCCTGCATTTCCCTCTTCGGCCCAACTCCCCCCCCCGAACGATCCAGGGCGCCGAGTGTGCAGTTGTGGTCGCCACCCACAATCACGCACTCGTCGTCCGGGATCCCGGCCAGGTGCCTCCTCAGGAGGTGCAGAAACGGGATCTTCTCCTTGTTGGTCACCGGCGCATACACGTTCAGCAGGTGGGCGGTGACATCGCCCACCCTGACCGTTACCGCGAGCAGCCTTCCCTTCACCACTTCGGTGTGGGTGATGAGCTCGTGATGAAACCCTTTAGCGAACAGGGTCGCGACTCCACGGGAGGTGTTGTCAAGGTGGCTGTAGAAGGAGTCCCCTCCCCACTCCTTCCTCCAGTCATCCTCTACCGTGGGATGCGTCTCCTGAATGAAGAAGACAGAGGCAGCGTGTTTCCTCGCAAGAGACATTGCGGAAAACCTCCGCACTGCCTCCCTGCACCCGTTCACGTTCAGGGAGCCGATATACATAGGCATTACTTGTTCCTTTCCTCCGTGGCCTCCCACCTTGTAATTTGTTTGCAGAAATATCTCAGCTTTGCCCTCTCCTTGCCCCGGGGACTCGAGTCCCTGCTTGGCGAGGAGTCTCTCGGCTTGAGTCACAGAGGCCTTTATTGCCTTGCTCTCCTCCCATCCAGCCAAGGCAATGTCCACTCTGTCCTTCCTCACGTTGGTCTCGTCGAGGAATTTCCAGAGATCTTCCGAGGAGATCAGGGGAGTTTGAGGGTCAAGGAGTGGAGACCCCTGGCTGCTCTCGCTACCCAACGCTGAAGCAGTCGTCCCGATCCGAGTCGACTTCCTCGGCGTCCGGCTCCGCTGGAAGAGCTGCAGCGGCTGGGCTGGCGCATGGCCCAGCGGCGTCCTCTCCCCCAGTGTCAGGGATGGCCTGGGATGGCCCCTGCTCAGGCTCTTCGAATGGATGGCCCCGGTGTCTCTTCCGCTGGTTTTGGATCAGCAGTGGGACGGGGACCTTCCTCCTCATTCCCATCCATTTTGTCCTTGCCCTTGGTGAGTGTCTCTCCGCCAACTTCTTCCTCTTGGTCAAGGGCTTCATGCAAAGCTGGCGGGGAGTGAGTGTCTATGACCACAGTAGACGGGTCGATTTGCGTGGCGATGTCGCCTTCATCGTCCACGGTCTCCTGCTGCGGAAAGCCCTTCTCCAGACTCACGCCGCTTCTTCCTCTCGGCGGGTTTCTTCCTCGTCGCCCGCGCGTCACTCGGCGCGGCGTCCGGGAAGGCGAAAACCACGTCTTCGGCGTCTGGGCAGCCGTTCTGCTTCCTCCCCTGGTGTGTGGGGGGGTTTCACCGCTTCTTCCTGTTCGAGGTCTGGGAGGGGTTCCTCCTCCGAATTTGACCCTTGAGATCCGGGTCCTTCTGTATTCTTCCTCTTGCGATTTGTCGCTTGAGGCGGCGATGATGTTGGGGCCGCGACCTCAGGTGTGGGAGGCTGCGTGGCTGGCGGGTCCGGTGTGGGCTGTTGGGGGGCTCGTTGCAATGGGGGCTCTCGCTGCTTTGCCCCCTTTGCTCTGCCTCCCTCCTCCCCGCTCTTTTCTCCGACCCTCGCCGTCGTCGGTTTAGGGCAATCCCTTCGGGAAGTGCCCCTCTTCTTTGTAGAGATTGCATCTGATGCAATCCTTGGCGTAAAACAGCCTATGGGCAATGTCTGCATAGACAACGACAAAGGAGCCCTCTTCCTGCTGTCCGGGAGTCAAAAGGACGTGCACCTGCCTCTTGAAAGATGAAATGTGATTCAGAGCAGGGTTTGTGCACCCCAGTGGCAGGGCACGGTACTGGCACCACGTTGGTGCCCAGCTTGGACACGCGCTCCAACACGCACCCCAACACGCGCTCCAACACGCGCCCCAACACGCGCTCCAACACGCGCCCCAACACGCGCTCCAACACGCGCCCCAACACGCGCTCCAACACGCGCCCCAACACGCGCTCCAACACGCGCCCCAACACGCGCTCCAACACGCGCCCCAACACGCGCTCCAACACGCGCCCCAACACGCGCTCCAACACGCGCCCCAACACGCGCTCCAACACGCGCCCCAACACGCGCTCCAACACGCGCCCCAACACGCGCTCCAACACGCGCCCCAACACACGCTCCAACATGCGCTCCAACACACGCTCCAACACGCGCCCCAACACGCGCTCCAACACGCGCCCCAACACGCGCTCCAACACGCGCCCCAACACGCGCTCCAACACGCGCCCCAACACGCGCCCCAACACGCGCTCCAACACACGCCCCAACACGCGCCCCGACACGCGCCCCAACACGCGCCCCAACACGCGCCCCAACACGCGCTCCAACACGCGCCCCAACACGCGCTCCAACACGCGCCCCAACACGCGCTCCAACACGCGCCCCAACACGCGCTCCAACACGCGCCCCAACACGCGCTCCAACACGCGCCCCAACACGCGCTCCAACACGCGCCCCAACACGCGCTCCAACACGCGCCCCAACACGCGCTCCAACACGCGCCCCAACACGCGCTCCAACACGCGCCCCAACACGCGCTCCAACACGCGCCCCAACACGCGCTCCAACACGCGCCCCAACACGCGCTCCAACACGCGCCCCAACACGCGCCCCAACACGCGCCCCAACACGCGCTCCAACACGCGCCCCAACACGCGCCCCAACACGCGCCCCAACACGCGCCCCAACACGCGCCCCAACACGCGCCCCAACACGTGCTCCAACACGCGCCCCAACACGCGCCCCAACACGCGCCCCAACACGCGCCCCAACACGCGCCCCAACACGCGCTCCAACACGCGCCCCAACACGCGCTCCAACACGCGCCCCAACACGCGCCCCAACACGCGCCCCAACACGCGCCCCAACACGCGCCCCAACACGCGCCCCAACACGCGCCCCAACACGCGCCCCAACACGCGCTCCAACACGCGCCCCAACACGCGCTCCAACACGCGCCCCAACACGCGCCCCAACACGCGCTCCAACACACGCTCCAACACGCGCCCCAACACGCGCCCCAACACGCGCTCCAACACGCGCCCCAACACGCGCCCCAACACGCGCCCCAACACGCGCTCCAACACGCGCCCCAACACGCGCCCCAACACGCGCTCCAACACGCGCTCCAACACGCGCCCCAACACGCGCCCCAACACGCGCTCCAACACGCGCCCCAACACGCGCCCCAACACGCGCTCCAACACGGCCTCGTCGGGGACGTAGGGCGGCACGCTCGATACGACTATCCGCGCCGCCTCGCCGAAGCGACGGGTTCCAGCCGGACGTGGAGTCCCCCCCGCGGTCATCCCCTTCTCGACGGCCGCATCGGCCGCCTTCTCCGTCGTCAGGAAGAAGACGGCGTTCCCGCTGACCCTCGAGGCGCGGGTGACGGCGGCCGGCGGGACGATGGCGGCCGGGGCCTCGACGCACGCCTCGATCGTGACGGAGCTCCAGGCGTAGCGGCGGACGCCGTTCTCGCGCTGCGGCAGCGGTCGCTGTGCGCTTGGGGGGGGGTTGGCCTTGGAGCAGATGCCCTAGCGGGGGGCCTCGTGACTCCAGGCAGATTGGCAGCTGCGACTTTTGCGTAGGTGGCCATTTGGTTCCTCGTACCTTCAAATTCTGCCCGACTGTGGTGCTGCGCTTATATGTACAGAGCTCCCCTCGAGAGAATGTAAACTGAGGATGAATAGAGAATCCTCGTTGAAGAAGATAATGAAAGAAAAAAAAACGAAAGGAAAGAGATATATTTATTTATTTCAATGAACTATTTTTATTGAATAAATTATGAAGCAGTAAATAAATAAATAAATTGCCAGTGAGACCTAATTATACATTTGCGTGTTAAATAAATGAATGTATTCTTCAAACAAATCTACTTTTTAGAAAAATTTGTTTACTAAATACATTCACTCATCGTTGAATAAATATAACTTAGAGTCCTTGCACACACGTGGAGGCAAACAAAAAAAACGCAGTGTGTTAAGGAATCATTAACCACTCTCCACATTTCGATTTAAAGCTTTCGTGACTGCAAGGATTCATCTTCTTTGGTTCTTTCGGTAAAGTCACGTAGAATGAGAATAAAATAATAAATTAATAAAATAAAATAACACGATAAAATTCTCACGACGTTTCGGCCACAACACGAGTGGCCTTCATCAGGTGAAGGGACGAGACTGTCTGGAGGACAGCGCTGGAGCGAACACAGCCAAGCTCAGACCGCGACCTTTAACCTGTGTGAGAAGAAACAGAGCACCTTGACAAAGGAATTGCATAAAAAAATTAGCATTTAATTGTTAAAGTGAAAGCCTACACATCCACAGAGGCACCTAGTACAAATCAAACAGGAGACTGTAGCATTGAAATAGCTGAGTGATTAGCTTGTGACTGGTCACAGAAATGGCTATGTTAAAGTCAAAGCCTACATATCCACAGAGGCACCTAGTATAAATCAAACAGGGGAATTTAGCATTGAAATAACTAAGGGATTAGCTTGTGACTGGTCATAGAAATAGCTATGTTAAAGTCAAAGCCTACACATCTACAGAGGCACCTAGTACATGGGCGCCAAAGGGGCTGCAACAACTCAACTATCATATAGTAAACCGATGTGAAAAAACCTAAGTCTAAATTACATCAATATAATAAATGTACTCAATATATTCTTCAATAAGCTGAGCTATTAACAGTAACTGGGTATACACTACACTATATAATAAATACCATATAGTAAACCAATAAAAACTAAAATATAAACTTCCTCAATGTTATCAATAAACTCTATATTCTCCAATCAGCTAAGCTACCAACAATAAGTCGTTATACTGTATATCACAATGCTATATGGCGAAAAAATTGGTGGATTCTTACCCTGAACTCTAGCACCACGGATAGCTACGAGCCCCGTTCAGACGGATGAGTTCATCCATGGTCGGAACGGGGGAGGGTGAGAGAGACAGCTGCGAGGCGCTGTTATACTCCATGTTGTAAACCATACCATTAACCGTGGTGTGAGAGGTATTAAGAGTCAATACCAGCGAAAGAGCTGTGGTCTGAAGGTCATCGTAAAATACAATTAATTAAGAACCGAAATGGTTTAAAACATCTTTCCAATGGTTACTAAGCCAGAATCCATCTTCTCGGTTGAAATTGTCTCTGTGCTTGTATATGTGAATGGCCTCATGAACGAATCTCTCATGGTAGCCGGTTGGTTTGCAAAAAACCTCCGTCTTGGAGAAGTCAATGTCATGTGAGCCCACTGAATTATAACAGTGATCTGCCACGGCAGAGGAGGATAGCTCGTAGCTATCCGTGGGGCTAAAGTTGAGGGTAAGAATCCACCCATTTTTTCGCCATATAGCATTGTAATATATAACGACTTATTGTTGGTAGCTTAGCTGATTGGAGAATATATAGAGTTTATTGATAACATTGAGGTAGTTTATATTTTAGTTTTGTATTGGTTTACTATATGGTATTCATTATATAGTGTAGTGTATACCCAGTTACTGTTAATAGCTCAGCTTATTGAAGAATATATTGAGTACATTTATTATATTGATGTAATTTAGACTTAGGTTTTTTCACATCGGTTTACTGTATGATAGTCGAGTGGTTGCAGCCCCTTTGGCGTCAATGTACTAGGTGCCTCTGTAGATGTGTAGGCTTTGACTTTAACATAGCCATTTCTATGACCAGTCACAAGCTAATCCCTTAGTTATTTCAATGCTAAATTCCCCTGTTTGATTTATACTAGGTGCCTCTGTGGATATGTAGGCTTTGACTATAACATAGCCATTTGTGTGACCAGTCACAAGCTAATCACTCAGCTATTTCAATGCTAAATTCTCCTGTTTGATTTGTACTAGGTGCCTCTGTAGATGTGTAGGCTCTGACTTTAACATAGCTATTTCTATGACCAGTCACAAGCTAATCCCTTAGTTATTTCAATGCTAAATTCTCCTGTTTGATTTGTACTAGGTGCCTCTGTGGATGTGTAGGCTTTGACTTTAACATAGCTATTTCTATGACCAGTCACAAGCGAATCCCTCAGTTATTTCAATGCTAAATTCTCCTGTTTGATTTGCGCTAGGTGCCTCTGTGGATGTGTAGGCTTTGACTTTAACATAGCCATTTCTATGACCAGTCACAAGCTAATCCCTCAGTTATTTCAATGCTAAATTCTCCTGTTTGATTTGTACTAGGTGCCTCTGTGGATGTGTAGGCTTTGACTTTAACATAGTCATTTCTATGACCAGTCACAAGCGAATCCCTCAGTTATTTCAATGCTAAATTATCCTGTTTGATTTGTACTAGGTGCCTCTGTGGATGTGTAGGCTTTGACTTTAACATAGCTATTTCTATGACCAGTCACAAGCGAATCCCTCAGTTATTTCAATGCTAAATTCTCCTGTTTGATTTGTACTAGGTGCCTCTGGATGTGTAGGCTTTGACTTTAACATAGCTATTTCTACGACCAGTCACAAGCGAATCCCTCAGTTATTTCAATGCTAAATTCTCCTGTTTGATTTGTGCTAGGTGCCTCTGTGGATGTGTAGGCTTTGACTTTAACATAGCCATTTCTATGACCAGTCACAAGCTAATCCCTCAGTTATTTCAATGCTAAATTCTCCTGTTTGATTTGTACTAGGTGCCTCTGTGGATGTGTAGGCTTTGACTTTAACATAGCTATTTCTATGACCAGTCACAAGCGAATCCCTCAGTTATTTCAATGCTAAATTCTCCTGTTTGATTTGTGCTAGGTGCCTCTGTGGATGTGTAGGCTTTGACTTTAACATAGCTATTTCTATGACCAGTCACAAGCTAATCCCTCAGTTATTTCAATGCTAAATTCTCCTGTTTGATTTGTACTAGGTGCCTCTGAGGATGTGTAGGCTTTGACTTTAACAATTAAATGCTATTTTTTTAATGCTAATTCCTTTGTCAAGGCGCTCTGTTTCTTCTCACACAGCTTAAAGGTCGCGGTCTGAGCTTGGCTGTGTTCACTCCAGTGCTGTCCTCCAGACAGTCTCGTCCCTTCACCTGATGAAGGCCACTTGTGTTGTGGCCGAAACGTCGTGAGAATTTTATTGTGTTATTTTATTTTATTAATTTATTATTTTATTCTCATTCTACGTGACTTTACCGAAATAACCAAAGAAGATACTCTCCACATCACTTGCTCTCCCCATCACTCTCGCTCTCTCTCCACATCACTCTCTCACTCTCTCCCTTTAGCTCTCTCGCTCCCCATCACTCGCTCTCCCCAACACTCTCTCTCTCTCTCTCCACATCACTCTCTCTCCATCACCCTCTCTCTCTCCACATCACTCTCTCCCCATCATTCGCTCTCCCCATCACTCACTCTCTCTCCACATCACTCTCACTCTCTCCACATCACTCTCTCTCCACATCACTCTCTTTCCCCATCACTCTCTCTCCCTTTAGCTCTCTTGCTTCCCATCACTCGCTCTCCCCATCAATCTCTCTCTCCAAATCTCTCTCTCTCTCCCCCCACATCACTCTTTTTTTACGATCAGAGGAAACAAGAAGATGCTCGGTGTAGTCGGCACTTTGTTCCGTTCATCATTTCGGTTTTTTTGTTTTTTTGTTATGCTTTGCTTTATGTAACCCCCCCCCCCCCTATTAAATGAAAGACCCAACAGATGGAGATTAGTCCACACACGGGGTAGAAGGGAGTGAGATGGAACAGATGGAGATTAGTCCACACACGGGGTAGAAGGGAGTGAGATGGAACAGATGGAGATTAGTCCACCCTCGGGGTAGAAGGGAGTGAGATGGAACAGATGGAGATTAGTCCACACACGGGGTAGAAGGGAGTGAGATGGAACAGACGGAGATTAGTCCACACACGGGGTAGAAGGGAGTGAGATGGAACAGATGGAAATTAGTCCACACACGTGGTAGAAGTGAGTGAGATGGAACAGATGGAGATTAGTCCACATACGGGGTAGAAGGGAGTGAGATGGAACAGATGGAGATTAGTCCACACACGGGGTAGAAGGGAGTGAGATGGAACAGATGGAGATTAGTCCACACACGTGGTAGAAGTGAGATGGAACAGATGGAGATTAGTCCACACACGTGGTAGAAGGGAGTGAGATGGAACAGATGGAGATTAGTCCACACACGGGGTAGAAGGGAGTGAGATGGAACAGATGGAGATTAGTCCACACACGGGGTAGAAGGGAGTGAGATGGAACAGATGGAGATTAGTCCACACACGGGGTAGAAGGGAGTGAGATGGAACAGATGGAGATTAGTCCACACACGGGGTAGAAGGGAGTGAGATGGAACAGATGGAGATTAGTCCACACACGGGGTAGAAGGGAGTGAGATGGAACAGATGGAGATTAGTCCTCCCACGGGGTAGAAGCGAGTGAGATGGAACAGATGGAGATTAGTCCACACACGGGGTAGAAGGAAGTGAGATGGAAGAG